TTTTTAAACTAAATATATTTGGAACTAGATTAGAAGCCATTTTTCGTATTTGACCCTTCCCCTTCTGTTGACACTAAGAGGACCTTAATTAATCATATTAATCGTAAGATCAACCAGGCCCATAAACGAGGAGGTCTGACTCAACCCATAACGGTAAAATGCCCTCTTGGTAGAATAACAGTGAAAAAAAGAACCTTCTTAGCGTCCAAAATTCAAAATTTTGTATAGAATTTCGATTATATTGTATGCTAAGTACCCTCATAAAATATTATTATTTCGAACGTTTTCTTGATATTTGTCAAAACTATTCGGACAGAAAAACGGACGAAATACTAATGTAAGCTTATTTTCTTAATTTTTAAATGAAAATATTAAAGTTTTTCATTGAATTTAACACTGTAAATCTGTAAAAAGTTATCTAATCTACAAGAATTTTAATTATCATTTGCATATTTACACTTATATAACTTTATCATCAATAAATGCTTCCTGTTTATACATTTTTTCTGTTAATGGCATACGTCTTGGTCTTTTAAATTGCTGATTTTTAAAGAAAAAAAAATCACAATTTTATGGTAAAATACACACATACTTATTTAAAACTTAATTAAATTCAGGAACAACTTAACAACGTAATTCTTATTAGAAACAATCACCGGAAATTAATTCGTAAACAGAAGACAGAAACGGAAAAGTGATGTCATTTCCTGTTTTCGTTTACCGAAATTCCGATGAAAAATGCTTCAACATTTCCCGTTTCAGTTGGCATTTTCCGTTGTGTTTTGACCAATAGAAAAGAATGAAAAGACCAATAGTTATGACGTATTAGTGACGTTCCGTCTTGTTGTATCAAAATAAAATGGAGGACTATTCGAAAAGATCCTTTTCAAAGGACTAGAAACCAAAACTTCGAAATGGTTTGCAATACATTTTGCTCTTCATACGAAAACCTATCTAAATCGAAAATAAACCATCAGACGGAATTTTGCAAACCGTGCCACGTGGTTTACAAAAACAATGACCAGCCATTTCGCGGGCTTTATTTGAAACAAAGATAAGAACAATGCATTTTCATTTCGTCATACTGTAAAACCTATCTAAAACGAACCGCGACGGTACAGGCCAGNTGCCCATCCATTTTCATTTGATTCAACTTTTATATGTGTTTTTTTTTTTTTTTTTTTTTCTGTCGCTCTGTACCTGAAGAATACCCGAAAGTGGATAAAACCACTGAACACTGGTAGTGGCACCTCACTAACAAGTGACCATGTAAAGTTTTCCAAGTTTTCTTCACGTAACAGAGGCCAGTTTCCTATAGAAAGTCCTCCCAAAAAAACAGTTCCTTACACCTGAAGAATCCTTCGAATAGTGTTTCGAGAGTTTCAAAATGGAGGTCAATTTATTTTTAATGATGCAAACTTTAGATAATAATTAACATTTCTTCGACAATGTTTTGTTAGTTAGTGTTTTAATAAATTAAAGTTTGTTTTTGCTGGTGATGAAAAAAATCTGTTTTAATTTGTTCTATTGGCTTTCGGAGAGTAATGATTTCACATTTGTAAATGCTCCGTTCTCATACCCTATTTATAATTGATATTAATTGAATTTATTTTTTAACTTTAAATATATTTTAATATACTGTAGAAACTTTATTTTTTGTTAGGAGTCGGGACCAAATCCGTGACGGAGAATAGAATTCCCCCTACAAGTACAGAAAAATTAATTTACAATCAATTACCGCAATTAATACACATTCCAATACGTACAGTATTGTATATTTAACCATCCATTTATTTACTGTATGTACAGTGGAGTATTTATTCGCGATGCGAATGTACTGTATATTAATGAATTTGTACATAATGTACTGTATATTAATGAATTTCACTGTACAGTAATTAATTAAACTGTACAGACATTTTTTCATGGGCGAAAAGGGCAATTACCCGAAGACCGCAACAACAAGGAAATCCAAATCAATCTTTTATAATGAAATATTTTCCCAGAAAATTCTTCTGAAGAAAAATGTCTGAAATCAACACTATACACGGCACCCCCTAATCCAAATTTGCCTGAATCCCATAAAGTTATAACGCGTCACTGTATATAGAAATGAAGTACAGTACATGCAGTAAAATTCATAAAATACAGTACATTATGTACTGTACTTCATTATTGCAGTAGCAAAAGAAAAAAAAATACAATAAATCTAATCCCCAAAACTAAATTTAGCACAATGACGGTTAAAAGAGTTACGAATGATCGAGTTTTCACTGAATTTTTACATTTCTTACTTTGATAAAGATCAAAATGAGATATTTGCAAAAAGTTTTCGGTTATTTTTCAAATTAAAAATTTAAAAAAAAAAATAAGAAAAAAAGCTGAGTTAGACTTGTTATACAGAATTTTGCGTCTTAATTGCATAAATAATCACAAATTATATAGCATGATTAAAAAGAATAAAAACTTTTCTATCATTCTATCATAAATAATACAGAATTAGCAGTTTATTCGTGATATTATCTATCAAAATACAAAAAAAACAATATTTTTCTTTACAAATATTTTCACTGTACGATTGATTCTTCATCACTTATTAATAGAAATTTTAATTTATAATGCTTTTATAATATTTTTTTTTGCACAAAACTTTAAATTCTGGAACCCCTTCTGAGTTTACAACTCACGTTAAGTGCCACTGATGGCACTCTTCCTCTGTATTTCCATGTTGAAGATAGAGGAAGAATGCCATCAGTGCCATTTGATATGAGTTCTCAGTGCAGAAGGGACTCATGTAGAGCCTGATACAGTATATATGAGAATTAAATATAGTCAAAACCTCTAAACAACGGCCACTGAACATTAAAAAATGTCCGTTGTTTGGGGATTATTTTGTAGGCGTTTGCTCAACGTTTCCGAAGAAAAATGACAGCCATTTAGAGGTGGCACCCTTACAAATTATTATTCGCAACACCATTATATATATGTAATGTAATATAATATATATATACTCTCTAGGGCACCGTGAAAAATATAAGCTACCATAAACCTCGACACTCCTGATTCATTTCCCATTAACTCCTAAACCCCTTACCCGATTCTAACCAAATTTTACATGCTTACCCTCTACAATCCTGCATAAAATATAAGCTACAATGAAACCCGGACTCCCAACTCCTCTTCTGATTCCGTCATAAATATAACAATTGCGGGATAAATTAATCAGATTTTAATTAATTATAGTTTCAATTTTAGTTTATTTAGTCAGGTTTGATGGGTCCCCTTTTGGTAGATTGCCACGCAATACATGGGCGATTGATCTGCCTCCCAGGAGAACTTTCTAAAGGAAATTGGCCCTATTTAGGTGTTGGGCAATCCCGGAAAACTCCCGTGGCCACTTTTAGTGGCTTTTTTAATGTTTTTTTCTTATAATTTAATTTATTTTGCTCACTTGTTCTTTCTAAATATCTACTCTTTAATCCTCCCGATTATTTATTTTAAAAAAGAGTTAATTGATTTTTAAAAAAACCTCCGAATAACGGACATTATAAAAACATTTTAAACCTGTAAATAGCGGCCATTTTTTAGGAATTTCTGAACAAAACTGCGTACAAAATAACCCCCCAAAACGGGCAATAGCCGTTATTCAGAGGTTTGATTGTATACATATCCTGTTGAGTAATACTACGATTATACTGATAACTATTATCATTCATTGCACGATAGATAATCTGTTTGTATGTCTGCACATTTATATATATATAAGTTTAATTGCCTATAATTAAAAGTTTTATAGGAAATTTTTTTATATAATCAATCTTCTCGCATGTTGTAAGTAAACGTTTAAATATTCTATATTCTACAAGAATATTTAAATGTTACTAAATAAATTTTATTAGGTTAATGCTCTTATTATGGAAAGGATGAAGAGAATGATAATAACTGCATGAGTAAAGTACAATAACTCTATCATAAATATTGTTTAAATTTATAATTAAATGAACTCTGACCCATTTATAAAATCAAATTATCATATTTTATTCACTGTAATAAATTTAATTTTCATATAATAAATATTAATAAGAATTGTTTTTTATATGTAAATTCGTATTAAAAACTTTTTACTATTTTTTTTATATTACTTTTGTTTGATGGCCGGATGGCCTAGGCCAGTGGTTTCACACCTTTGTGTATGTCGTTGGTAGGCGGGCCACAAATACTACATACACGAAGTAGGCCTATTTCTATCGTTTATAAGTGATGTGCCTAATATTTTTTCCGGCCGAATATTCTGACCCGGAGCATCACTAGTCTGGCCTATTTCGGACATCACTGATCTGGTCTACTTTGGGCATCTCTGGTTTGGCCTACTTTGAATGTCACTGGTATGGTCTACTTTGGGCATTATTGGTCTGGCCTACTTTGAATGTCATTGGTATGGCCTACTTTGAATGTCACTGGTATGGCCTACTTTGGGCATCACTGGTCTGGCCTACTTTGAACGTCATTGGTATGGCCTACTTTGAATGTCACTGGTATGGCCTACTTTGGGCATCGCTGGTCTGGCCTACTTTGAATGTCACTGGTATGGCCTACTTTGAGCATCACTGGTCTGGCCTGTTTTGGGCATAACTGGTAAATTAAATACGAAATTATTCTTGTATATCTTTAATATAATTTCTAGTGTAATAATATAAATAAGAGATAATACAAGTGTGGATCAAGAAATAACCATCCAAACTCCAACAGCATCGAATCTCGTCCGGGCTGGTTATTTACTGATCCATCCATATAATATAAATAATAATATAATATAATAATATAAATAAGATATTATAACAAAGGATACAATTAGGATCAATTCAAAATGTTATTTTTTTTATGAAACCATTCATAAATATTTAAATTAAACGAAGCAAAATTGTAAACAAAGGTTGTGAAATATAAAAATTCTCATACAGAAATATAAAAATAAAAACATCAGTCAGCAGAGGACAAAGTTCTACTCACTTCCCGCTTTTCAATCTCCTGACTCGTCCGGTCCATTCTATATAAGAACAGTTAGTAGGGGGATTTAGTAGGATGTACAATTAACCTTTTTTAAATATGAGAACTGTTATAGTTGTAACGTTACTTACACTCTGCTGCATCTGGTGTCAAGCAATTCATCCCAGTAGCAAAAATAAATTAGATAAAAAACACGATTTCGATGGTAAGATCTTAATTTTAATACCTTAAAAATACCTTAAAATCCTAATTAAATACCCTAAAATACGAGATTTTTCACTCCTTTGTGGTGATGTGCCTAATGGCGGTCATCTGTCGGCTAGTTTTTAAGGATTTGCTTGTTAATTTTTGACTATTAATTAACATTTTATCAAACTTTAATGTTAATTAATCATTTGTAAACATAAATTCGTCTTATTTATATGGCTTAATCTAAATTATTTTACTAATTAGAATTAAAAATGTTTAATGCGGTTCCATAGTCGTTACAAGCGAATTAATCCACGTAACTTCAATTATTTTAATATGTTTAACTCCAAATTTTCATATTGTTAATGTGTTATAGAGACAGCTAATTAGAGAATCTTATTAGTGAATTTAATGTTATAAACCTCATAATAATTTAATTTTTAGTAAACTTTAATTAAATATTCTATGCATTGCATCAGTTAATAATCGCGGATTGGCATTTAGCTCTTGGATAAATTAATTTTCTTGTAAAACTAAACATTTGAGGCTATTTTTGCTAATTAAATGTTAATCTAGACAATTTGAGATATCCAAAATTGCGGTTTGGAGCTAAATAAATGCTTGAGAAGTGTTCAAAATTAGGAAACGTTACTTAAAACTCTACGAGTGTGAGAAATTAACGCCATATTAATTTCATGAAATCGTGTTTCTCGAACCCATAATATCATATTTTCTAAAATAATAATATTAGAAATTGTGTTAGACGGGTTTAAAATAAATTATTTTTAGTTTTTCTACCAATAAGTAGATCGCGAGACAGAAATTATCAGGATCGTGTAGCGTATAAAAAATCTAGCTGAATAAAAGTTTAATGGGCATGTAATGTCAGTATACAGATTCGTAATTATCCTACAGGATTACATTAATGAGAAGAAATATCATTTATCTTTATTTTATAAATATTATTTAAGTACAGTCGAATAACTCTAAACGGCGGCCATTTTTTTTCGGATACAACCTCAATACAACAGCCATTTTTCGGGAACGTTTAACGAAAATGCATACAAAATAAGTACCATACAATAGAAATTTTCTTATGTTCCCGTTAGTGGCCGTTGTTTAGAGGTTTGAATGTATAGAGGTATTTAAAAAATGGTAAAAGAAACCGTTCATACTTTTTAATGCGGATATTGTTCAAAGTCTAAGTTTAAATCTTTGTTTAGATAAATATAAATGATAGTGATCAGTATTTCTATAATAAATATTATTTTCTTATACTAAGCTATCGAGAAGACAAGTTTCTCAAGGTTGAAGAATATTAAGATATAGCAAAAAAAGTGATACCAAAATGCTTAGTTTTATTAGAAAATTGTGTAAATTTTCAGTAAAAACATTGTCTAAATTGTGTCAACAACTTAAAATTTAAAATATTTAGAAGTAATGGAGTATTGATAAACCCTGGTTTATTATATTTTTAGTATATTTGGACGCCTTAGACAGTGGAGAAGGTCACTGGCTCATTAGAATAGACGAAGAAGAGAAGGATATAGACACTAGTGGAGATGAAGAAATCACCGAATTTAAACTATTGCCAACCCCTCCACTAAAGAGGAAAGGTAATTAATTAATTAATTAACCTTAAAAGCTTGGAAATAACTTAATTAAGTTGTTAATTATTATTTATATTTTAGATAAAAATAAGAAAAAGAAAGAGGTGTGCTGTAAATTGGGTCGCTTAGCAGGTGATAAAGGGTACATATGTTTCGCTGATTTGTACTTGGCCAGGATAATTGAGAGGAACAGAAATAGGGCACAGAGTAAAATGAGGCTCTCTACTAACGAAAACATCAAGAAATCTAAAGAAAAAGTCATGAGAGCCTTCAGTAGGTGCGTTAAAGGAATGAAAGGTGTATTTAACAAGTGCTGTTATGAAACATCTATGAAGTTAGATGAGAAAATGAAGAGAATATAAATAATTTTTTATACAGTAGTTTATTTTTCTGTTAACAGAAAAAGAATATAAATATAATTAAATGAATTATTTGGTTTCTGTTTAGTTAATTCACCCTTTTATTTCGCCTCTTCTGGGGGTAGAAGTCACAACAAACTGCTTGATTAGATATGCTTACTACTAAGCATTGATTAGAAATATATTTTTATGAATGAGATTTTGTCGAATATGCAAAAATTTCTTGAGATAAAAAAGAATTTCGATAGACAGGAAATAAGAAAATGTGAGGAAACGTGAGGAATTAAAATGCAGAAACGGCATTTATTTGAATATTCATCATTTTATTTTTAAACCTCTTTTGAAATCTTTCAACCAATTTTTAAAAAAAAATATATTTTTTTTCGACTGATAATTTTTGTTATTTATCATTTCTTCGTGTAAAAATAATTATGAAAAAGTATAATTAATTCCCTGATGAAATTAAATATTTTGACATTTGATTTGTATCCTGAGAAATAATCGAAGATGCAAATAATAATAATAATAATAATAAATAAATAATTGAAACATATTGAAGTCTGTATTAATGTTTTAATCACTTCTCATAGCTCAAACCATTAAAAAAAAAATACATTTTGAGATCGAATTGAATTAAAATAAAATAATTCCAACACACAATAAAAATGACTTTAACATAATATTATATTTTATTAACTAAAATTCAAATAACATAAAACATGAATTATTATTTTAATATTTATCTGAATTAAGTTCGAATATGAAAAAAAATTTTTTTTGTATTAAATTACTTGGTTAATCGTTTCTATAACCGAATGAAGATTAGACTGTCTTTCTCTCTATCTCTCCTCTCTTCTCTATCTATCTCTCCTCTTTATCTTTTCTCTCCCATCTCTTCTCTCATTCCCCCCTCTTTTCTTCCTCTCTATCCTAATTTTCTTCCACTAATGACCTAGTAAATAAAACCACTAAACACGGGGTTCCCACTTCATTCAACCACGTGTAGATTTCCGACTTTTATTCACGTGTCTAAACATGTGTATAGGGATTGTAAACACGTCTAAACAAGGGATTCTAAACACATCTAAACAAGGGCTATTTTTTCGTATAAAAATCCTCTCCTTGGCCGATTGCCCACGTGTTGCAATGCCTTCTACTATTAAACCAAAAAACCTAACCTATTTTTAAACTAAATATATTTGGAACTAGATTAGAAGCCATTTTTCGTATTTGACCCTTCCCCTTCTGTTGACACTAAGAGGACCTTAATTAATCATATTAATCGTAAGATCAACCAGGCCCATAAACGAGGAGGTCTGACTCAACCCATAACGGTAAAATGCCCTCTTGGTAGAATAACAGTGAAAAAAAGAACCTTCTTAGCGTCCAAAATTCAAAATTTTGTATAGAATTTCGATTATATTGTATGCTAAGTACCCTCATAAAATATTATTATTTCGAACGTTTTCTTGATATTTGTCAAAACTATTCGGACAGAAAAACGGACGAAATACTAATGTAAGCTTATTTTCTTAATTTTTAAATGAAAATATTAAAGTTTTTCATTGAATTTAACACTGTAAATCTGTAAAAAGTTATCTAATCTACAAGAATTTTAATTATCATTTGCATATTTACACTTATATAACTTTATCATCAATAAATGCTTCCTGTTTATACATTTTTTCTGTTAATGGCATACGTCTTGGTCTTTTAAATTGCTGATTTTTAAAGAAAAAAAAATCACAATTTTATGGTAAAATACACACATACTTATTTAAAACTTAATTAAATTCAGGAACAACTTAACAACGTAATTCTTATTAGAAACAATCACCGGAAATTAATTCGTAAACAGAAGACAGAAACGGAAAAGTGATGTCATTTCCTGTTTTCGTTTACCGAAATTCCGATGAAAAATGCTTCAACATTTCCCGTTTCAGTTGGCATTTTCCGTTGTGTTTTGACCAATAGAAAAGAATGAAAAGACCAATAGTTATGACGTATTAGTGACGTTCCGTCTTGTTGTATCAAAATAAAATGGAGGACTATTCGAAAAGATCCTTTTCAAAGGACTAGAAACCAAAACTTCGAAATGGTTTGCAATACATTTTGCTCTTCATACGAAAACCTATCTAAATTGAAAATAAACCATCAGACGGAATTTTGCAAACCGTGCCACGTAGTTTACAAAAACAATGACCAGCCATTTCGCGGGCTTTATTTGAAACAAAGATAAGAACAATGCATTTTCATTTCGTCATACTGTAAAACCTATCTAAAACGAACCGCGACGGTATAGGCCAGCATTTCCTGTTTTGGCAGGATTTCATTTTATACAGGGTAACGTTTTTTTTTTTAATTAATTAATGCAGAAAAGTTGAAAAAATGTTACTCATTGTCTCCAATTTTAGTGTTTTATATTTACAAATACACTTAGAAAACACCGAAATGTTTATCTATTGAACGATAAATCCTCTCGAAAACTATGGAAGCCAAAGAGATGGTTTACATTGATACCAACATACGTGCGAATATTATAATATGGAACAATCGATTCGTAGGTACAACGTGTCTGTTTTGTTACGTGGTGCAGTTTGGCAACAAGATTTATGTGGCAATTGCAAAACGTTGAACATGATGTACTTTGCCGTATTATCATTAATGTACTTCAAGTTGAAGTACAGTATATCACATTAAGCTGGCTGTTTTTTTTTTACGTGGTACACTTTGGAGCAGAAAAAACTTAATTTTTATTTACACGCGATTCAATATGAAACTAAGGCCAATTTTTTGGATTAAATTGCATAGAAACTAGTAGACGTTTTGATTCTAGGCCTTCACCACATGATACACATCTACAGTTTCCAAAATAATTTTTAACTTATGGCCAAAAATCACGTGGTACTGTACGTTTTGCAATTAGGCAACTCATTTATTCTAATTTCTCTGTTGATTCTCACTACGGTTTAGGCACGTTCACATTTCTCCTGTCTCTTAGATGACCGTGACAGTGAGAAACACTTGTATATATTTTTACATTATAATTTCAAAAAAAAAAAAAACCTGAAGTTTTAAAATCTTAAGAAGTCAAATTTGGAAATTGTAGTATTTATTTTATTCCATAAATTTCAGTGAAAAAAATGCCATACAACGCAATTCATTGTTGTATTCTGAAGAATATCTTGAAATCAATTAATTCTGTATAAAAATAAACAAAGAATTAAAGATTGTATGGGATAATTTAAGAACAGACTCTCCATGTTTATCTATCTTCAAATGTTTGCAATAAAATGGATCTACTGTTCACTAATTGTATGAAATCATGGGACCACAAAGTAATCAATAATACATTTTCAGGGCTCGATTTGAAACAATTCGTTAAAAATGGTTATAAACATTACAGTTCAATATGTTGCAAATTGCACACTGTAAGTAGGTATTTTCTATGACAACTACAGTTGAAAACCGTACTCAATTACACTGTATTATCCTCCCATCTTCAGTGACATTCGCTTAGAAGTAGGAATGAATTATCATGGTAATTGGCTGCAGCTGTTGCGTGATTTTGGTGCCACTTCTTCTTTCCTTCAAGAAGAAACACGTGATTGCATAAAAATGATTCGGCAAAATCGAATTTATTTTTCCCGGTCTAAATCATATGATAATTGACAATCTTAACACGCAAAAAATCACTGCGTTCCTAAGAACTTTTCCCGTTTAGGCAAGTTTCGGCTTTATTAACGTTCCACTTTGAACCGGTGTGTGGATTAATACTGACTCACACCAGATTTATTACCACCACCGCACTAGTATTAGAAGACCGGATGGTCGAGCAGTTGGGGTAGCAGCCTACTGCTACGGGGAATTCAGGATGAATCCGGGTGGGTCGAAAAATCCCAGGAATTTTCGGCGCTAATCTCTTACCACTTGCCTGAGCCTGGTAGACCTGGCCCAACCCATGACGGGCTTGCTAAAATGGGCACTTCAACAGTTTTAGCAAAAAAGCAGTTGAGAAATCCTTGGAGGGGCCGACAGTCAAGAAAGTTTGGAGACTTGCACTAAATAAATGATCACAGCGATCATCTTATACAGTAAGTTAGATATCTAAAATCATATAACATAAATATACGCACGTGTAGGTTCGTTCGATTGACGTTCGATTATCAATTAGACTTTATGGATCAAATATGAAAAATGGCCTACGTGAAATTTGTTTATTTCATAATAAATATTCTGTCAATAGTAAAAATCCTAGATGTAAAGCCTGATTTAAATAATTAACAGCATGAAATAGTTTAAAAGATTTATGTAATTTCACATGAAAATTGAGATAATTAAGAAAAAAATATTTACATTATTTTAGAAAACAAAAATTCACCAGAAAAATATTCCAAAATTTATTCTAATATTCATTTCTAAATCTTGAAAACTTTTATTTTTTAATTAACAGTGAGGCGTTATAGCTTCATGGGGCCCGGGCAAATTGAATTAAGGGACCTCAATTATGAATTTGACTTCAGATGGTTTTCTTTGGGAATTCCCAGTACCCTCGTTCCTTTCTTAACGAAACCTCTAGGGGATTAAGTTCAGAATGGGGCATCCTGCGCTACACCGGCAATCTAGTCTCCCAGACAAGGCGCGAAATTAAAATTTTGATATTCTTACTACAGTAATGAGTTTATAAGATTAGTTCGGAGCAGTTGGAGGACGCCCCAGGCAATTGTCCTTTCTGCCCATAATAATTAAAGAACATTGGCAGGTTATCCTAACTTCAGAATACATAAAATACTTATTTGAACATTAATTAAAAATCAGCCAAATGTATGCGATATATCATGCCGCTATGGAAATGCTAATTTAACGCAATATGAATCAAACAAGCAAGCATCCTTAAAAACAGGATGATAACACTTAAATTAATCGATCGCTCAATTCTAATGTTCTACGTGTGGAGGGCCTAAATATGACACCTTTTAAGACCTAAATTTCTTAAGATATTTTCTGGCATACTTATCGTAGGTACGACCAGAATGGGAAGATGAAGAGTACAATTGCCATTGCAGTTGGCTCGGAACTTTTCGTGGAAGTTCCGAGACAACTGCACTCGAACCCGGTTCCTAGTGTTTTCTACATTCCGTCTCTTGGAACGTCGAGCATGATTCTAATGACATTGGCTGCTTTCAGCAGACTCAACAGTTCCGGAGCTGTTGAGTATTTTTCTGCTGAATGTCCTCTACAGTAGCGCTCTTTCGGATGATGTTTGGTGTTTTGACGTCATTTGGTAACGCTTTTCGTTTCAACGCAACGTCACTCAAGTTCAACAGATCCAAGTCTCTACGCAACAGATATCGATTTGCTATTACAACTGTTGAATCTGCCGAACGCAGCCATTGTCAAACTTCTACGATTACAAGATGGCAGCGCTCAACGTTCACGTTTGAGGTGAACATTTCGCCCGCAACCTCTTACAACGCGAGAATATTTCACGGGTCTTCAGAATTGGCCTTCACTCATCAAACCCACAATTGAAAAACTTTTTACGGCCCAGGGGGCCGATCACAAGTGAATTTATTAATACGCATATGGAAAAATCTCATCTTTTTTATTTTTTTCAATTTCCACAAATTCGTACAAGGACGAAAAAAACTATTTCTAGTCAAAATTCACTTTTTAATACTATTTTTCGTATTTCCTAAGACAACTGCACTCCACTTAAATAATACTCAACGGTAGCGATGGACGGCTCTCACATACTCTGAATTCATCCCAAAACATTTTATTCTCAACATTTGAATCACCTAAAAACAGGAAATTCACGATCTATATTCAATTTTCCTAACTCTACCCCATAATTTTTTATTATGATAAACAAGCAGATGATTTGAAGAATCTGCCATTGATTTTGATTGGAACATCAAAAGATGTGACAATCAATGGGATGATCAACATTTAGAGTAATCACAAAATCTTTCACAGATCTACTGCAACTTCAGCAGCTTTCCACAGTTTAAAATTGGCAATACATTACCTGTTTCTAAATATGTTTTACGAAGACTTATGCAATGGATCATCACCATTATTCTATTTAAAATAAATCTGTAACTTTAATCTTGATTTCTTAAATTTATAACTTCAGAGACTAATTTCACCAATGATGCTTTAAATGTAATATCCTATAATACTAAAATCACAGATATGACAAATACTGTGTTAAGGTGTTCTTAGTAATACTGTTTTCGTTTGACATCAATTTACCTACTACTATGGATATTAAGCACTAACACCTTAAATGCCCTTATATACATATATGAAAATGCAACTACCAAACCATTTTATTTTAAATCAATTTATTTGCGGAAAGTCTTCGACGTTTCACAATGGACCAAATCAGTCTGTGGTTTCTTGACGCGGGGCGCCTCCGACAGATCGGTGATTAATCATCAGATGGTCGGTGAATTCCTGGTAAGGAGATTTGGTCAGTACGGTTTCCTTCCACAGATCCGGAGTCAGGTAACTGTAGGTTTTCTGAATTGCCAGATAGGTAGCTTTAGCTAAAATAAAAAATAAAAAATTGCATTAATTATATGGTGTTAACAAAAATAAATAATTATTTCATTAATATAGCTAAAAATCATTTTGTGTATTATCGATAAGTTACTAAATTAGCTGTTTTCTTTTAATTACAGCTCAAAAATTTTATAAATAATTTATTTTTAATCTAAAAAGTAAGATGTGAAAATAAACAATACATTTATTTTAATGATTTCTGAATCTGTATTGCAATTTTAGTAACATTCACAATTACTGTCATGCCAAAAAAACTTGCAAGCTATACAACACCAAAATACATTAACACACAACCTCTGCAATGTATTTTCTGTCTGTATTTGATTTAGAAAAATATACAGGGTGGCACACAACAGTAGTGCCAGTCTGGTGCTACTGTATCAGAGTGAGCAAACACGTCATCTAAATGAACATTCAAGTCCCTTATTGTGTAGACTACATTGGCCACAAAATCACTAACATTGATATCACCAGGTGATAAGCAGTTGGATCCTGTGTTTATTACTATATCATTCCATGTTTTCGCTAAGCTAAGGGCTTTCACATGCACCACTCTGTTTAAACACCTCAATCCTTTTAAGTCAGATACCATGATTTAAATTTGACTTGTTTAGTGAAGAGAATTTGAAGCAAATAACATATATATACATCATGACATATGGTTACGTTACGGAGTTTATAACTCGACCCTAAATATTGCGCTTCTAATTCTAACCATAAAATTCTTGTTTTGTTATCTTTGTAAAAAGCTTTTCTTTACTTATAAACAATTACTTCTGTACTGTCTTATTCCTTAGATTTTAAAATTAACTTTTTAACAGTAAATCCCCTTAAAAAAAAAAAAAAAACATTTTACTTTAATGTTGCTGAAAACATATTTTTAAATTTTACTATAAAAATTAAACACGAATTATTTGGAAGGAATAAAATATCTTAAAATATAAAAATTTTAAGTATTAAGATGTACATAAACATTGACTGCGGCTGCAATGCTATAACCTTGAGACATTGTGAAATCAAACTATGGCTACGTTGCTAGTAATTTTTTATGTAAAAAATAGCTTACACTTTCTCAGACCACAGCATTTTTTTCTGCAAAAACTATTGCATGTCATCTAAGTTCATAAGGTATAAATTTCAGTTTTTTTTTTTTTTTTGAAATTTTAAAGTAGAAAAAGTTGAATAATAGGTGCTTTCATGCCTTTGAGACTCCATTTGACTCCTGAGCACACACACACACTGTATCTAATGTAGCGATGTCCAACCCGCGGGCCTGCATGCGTCCCATTCAATGTTTTTGTGTGGCCCTTTTAAAACAGTAATTATCTTGTATATATTTTTATTTCAATGAAATATCACATATATAGTTATGTACATTAATATGATGTATAACACCTTATCATGTACAGTACACTCAGAAATTAAAATAGTTATTAAATATTTTTAAACAAAGCTTCAAATGTATTACATATAATATATATGTAGATACAGTACNCTGGTATGGCCTACTTTGAATGTCACTGGTATGGCCTACTTTGGGCATCGCTGGTCTGGCCTACTTTGAATGTCACTGGTATGGCCTACTTTGAGCATCACTGGTCTGGCCTGTTTTGGGCATAACTGGTAAATTAAATACGAAATTATTCTTGTATTTCTTTAATATAATTTCTAGTGTAATAATATAAATAAGAGATAATACAAGTGTGGATCAAGAAATAACCATCCAAACTCCAACAGCATCGAATCTCGTCCGGGCTGGTTATTTACTGATCCATCCATATAATATAAATAATAATATAATATAATAATATAAATAAGATATTATAACAAAGGATACAATTAGGATCAATTCAAAATGTTATTTTTTTTATGAAACCATTCATAAATATTTAAATTAAACGAAGCAAAATTGTAAACAAAGGTTGTGAAATATAAAAATTCTCATACAGAAATATAAAAATAAAAACATCAGTCAGCAGAGGACAAAGTTCTACTCACTTCCCGCTTTTCAATCTCCTGACTCGTCCGGTCCATTCTATATAAGAACAGTTAGTAGGGGGATTTAGTAGGATGTACAATTAACCTTTTTTAAATATGAGAACTGTTATAGTTGTAACGTTACTTACACTCTGCTGCATCTGGTGTCAAGCAATTCATCCCAGTAGCAAAAATAAATTAGATAAAAAACACGATTTCGATGGTAAGATCTTAATTTTAATACCTTAAAAATACCTTAAAATCCTAATTAAATACCCTAAAATACGAGATTTTTCACTCCTTTGTGGTGATGTGCCTAATGGCGGTCATCTGTCGGCTAGTTTTTAAGGATTTGCTTGTTAATTTTTGACTATTAATTAACATTTTATCTAACTTTAATGTTAATTAATCATTTGTAAACATAAATTCGTCTTATTTATATGGCTTAATCTAAATTATTTTACTAATTAGAATTAAAAATGTTTAATGCGGTTCCATAGGCGTTACAAGCGAATTAATCCACGTAACTTCAATTATTTTAATATGTTTAACTCCAAATTTTCATATTGTTAATGTGTTATAGAGACAGCTAATTAGAGAATCTTATTAGTGAATTTAATGTTATAAACCTCATAATAATTTAATTTTTAGTAAACTTTAATTAAATATTCTATGCATTGCATCAGTTAATAATCGCGGATTGGCATTTAGCTCTTGGATAAATTAATTTTCTTGTAAAACTAAACATTTGAGGCTATTTTTGCTAATTAAATGTTAATCTAGACAATTTGAGATATCCAAAATTGCGGTTTGGAGCTAAATAAATGCTTGAGAAGTGTTCAAAATTAGGAAACGTTACTTAAAACTCTACGAGTGTGAGAAATTAACGCCATATTAATTTCATGAAATCGTGTTTCTCGAACCCATAATATCATATTTTCTAAAATAATAATATTAGAAATTGTATTAGACGGGTTTAAAATAAATTATTTTTAGTTTTTCTACCAATAAGTAGATCGCGAGACAGAAATTATCAGGATCGTGTAGCGTATAAAAAATCTAGCTGAATAAAAGTTTAATGGGCATGTAATGTCAGTATACAGATTCGTAATTATCCTACAGGATTACATTAATGAGAAGAAATATCATTTATCTTTATTTTATAAATATTATTTAAGTACAGTCGAATAACTCTAAACGGCGGCCATTTTTTTTCGGATACGTTAAATAAAAGTGCATACAAAACAGCCATTTTTCGGGAACGTTTAACGAAAATGCATACAAAATAAGTACCATACAATAGAAATTTTCTTATGTTCCCGTTAGTGGCCGTTGTTTAGAGGTTTGAATGTATAGAGGTATTTAAAAAATGGTAAAAGAAACCGTTCATACTTTTTAATGCGGATATTGTTCAAAGTCTAAGTTTAAATCTTTGTTTAGATAAATATAAATGATAGTGATCAGTATTTCTATAATAAATATTATTTTCTTATACTAAGCTATCGAGAAGACAAGTTTCTCAAGGTTGAAGAATATTAAGATATAGCAAAAAAAGTGATACCAAAATGCTTAGTTTTATTAGAAAATTGTGTAAATTTTCAGTAAAAACATTGTCTAAATTGTGTCAACAACTTAAAATTTAAAATATTTAGAAGTAATGGAGTATTGATAAACCCTGGTTTATTATATTTTTAGTATATTTGGACGCCTTAGACAGTGGAGAAGGTCACTGGCTCATTAGAATAGACGAAGAAGAGAAGGATATAGACACTAGTGGAGATGAAGAAATCACCGAATTTAAACTATTGCCAACCCCTCCACTAAAGAGGAAAGGTAATTAATTAATTAATTAACCTTAAAAGCTTGGAAATAACTTAATTAAGTTGTTAATTATTATTTATATTTTAGATAAAAATAAGAAAAAGAAAGAGGTGTGCTGTAAATTGGGTCGCTTAGCAGGTGATAAAGGGTACATATGTTTCGCTGATTTGTACTTGGCCAGGATAATTGAGAGGAACAGAAATAGGGCACAGAGTAAAATGAGGCTCTCTACTAACGAAAACATCAAGAAATCTAAAGAAAAAGTCATGAGAGCCTTCAGTAGGTGCGTTAAAGGAATGAAAGGTGTATTTAACAAGTGCTGTTATGAAACATCTATGAAGTTAGATGAGAAAATGAAGAGAATATAAATAATTTTTCATACAATAGTTTATTTTTCTGTTAACAGAAAAGAATATAAATATAATTAAATGAATTATTTGGTTTCTGTTTAGTTAATTCACACTTTTATTTCGCCTCTTCTGGGGGTAGAAGTCACAACAAACTGCTTGATTAGATATGCTTACTACTAAGCATTGATTAGAAATATATTTTTATGAATGAGATTTTGTCGAATATGCAAAAATTTCTTGAGATAAAAAAGAATTTCGATAGACAGGAAATAAGAAAATGTGAGGAAACGTGAGGAATTAAAATGCAGAAACGGCATTTATTTGAATATTCATCATTTTATTTTTAAACCTCTTTTGAAATCTTTCAACCAATTTTTAAAAAAAAATATATTTTTTTTCGACTGATAATTTTTGTTATTTATCATTTCTTCGTGTAAAAATAATTATGAAAAAGTATAATTAATTCCCTGATGAAATTAAATATTTTGACATTTGATTTGTATCCTGAGAAATAATCGAAGATGCAAATAATAATAATAATAATAATAAATAAATAATTGAAACATATTGAAGTCTGTATTAATGTTTTAATCACTTCTCATAGCTCAAACCATTAAAAAAAAAATACATTTTGAGATCGAATTGAATTAAAATAAAATAATTCCAACACACAATAAAAATGACTTTAACATATAGTCGACCCCCGTATAAGATCATTGATTATTCCGTTTTATATGAATTCCATGTTGTACGAGTCACTTAGATTTTACAAATACGTGAGCCGTTCACAGCCCGGTACACGTATTTGTAAAATTTAAGTGACTTGTACAACATGGAATTCATATAAAACGGAATAATCAATGATCTTATACGGGGGTCGACTATATGTTAAAGTCATTTTTATTGTGTGTTGGAATTATTTTATTTTAATTCAATTCGATCTCAAAATGTATTTTTTTTTAATGGTTTGAGCTATGAGAAGTGATTAAAACATTAATACAGACTTCAATATGTTTCAATTATTTATATATTTATTATTATTATTATTATTTGCATCTTCGATTATTTCTCAGGATACAAACCAAATGTCAAAATATTTAATTTCATCAGGGAATTAATTATACTTTTTCATAATTATTTTTACACGAAGAAATGATAAATAACAAAAATTATCAGTCGAAAAAAAATATATTTTTTTTTAAAAATTGGTTGAAAGATTTCAAAAGAGGTTTAAAAATAAAATGATGAATATTCAAATAAATGCCGTTTCTGCATTTTAATTCCTCACGTTTCCTCACATTTTCTTATTTCCTGTCTATCGAAATTCTTTTTTATCTCAAGAAATTTTTGCATATTCGACAAAATCTCATTCATAAAAATATATTTCTAATCAATGCTTAGTAGTAAGCATATCTAATCAAGCAGTTTGTTGTGACTTCTACCCCCAGAAGAGGCGAAATAAAAGGGTGAATTAACTAAACAGAAACCAAATAATTCATTTAATTATATTTATATTCTTTTTCTGTTAACAGAAAAATAAACTACTGTATAAAAAATTATTTATATTCTCTTCATTTTCTCATCTAACTTCATAGATGTTTCATAACAGCACTTGTTAAATACACCTTTCATTCCTTTAACGCACCTACTGAAGGCTCTCATGACTTTTTCTTTAGATTTCTTGATGTTTTCGTTAGTAGAGAGCCTCATTTTACTCTGTGCCCTATTTCTGTTCCTCTCAATTATCCTGGCCAAGTACAAATCAGCGAAACATATGTACCCTTTATCACCTGCTAAGCGACCCAATTTACAGCACACCTCTTTCTTTTTCTTATTTTTATCTAAAATATAAATAATAATTAACAACTTAATTAAGTTATTTCCAAGCTTTTAAGGTTAATTAATTAATTAATTACCTTTCCTCTTTAGTGGAGGGGTTGGCAATAGTTTAAATTCGGTGATTTCTTCATCTCCACTAGTGTCTATATCCTTCTCTTCTTCGTCTATTCTAATGAGCCAGTGACCTTCTCCACTGTCTAAGGCGTCCAAATATACTAAAAATATAATAAACCAGGGTTTATCAATACTCCATTACTTCTAAATATTTTAAATTTTAAGTTGTTGACACAATTTAGACAATGTTTTTACTGAAAATTTACACAATTTTCTAATAAAACTAAGCATTTTGGTATCACTTTTTTTGCTATATCTTAATATTCTTCAACCTTGAGAAACTTGTCTTCTCGATAGCTTAGTATAAGAAAATAATATTTATTATAGAAATACTGATCACTATCATTTATATTTATCTAAACAAAGATTTAAACTTAGACTTTGAACAATATCCGCATTAAAAAGTATGAACGGTTTCTTTTACCATTTTTTAAATACCTCTATACATTCAAACCTCTAAACAACGGCCACTAACGGGAACATAAGAAAATTTCTATTGTATGGTAGTTATTTTGTATGCATTTTCGTTAAACGTTCCCGAAAAATGGCTGTTTTGTATGCACTTTTATTTAACGTATCCGAAAAAAAATGGCCGCCGTTTAGAGTTATTCGACGGAGAGAAAAGATAAAGAG